GCATCTAAAAACAAAACTCGTTTTATTTAGTACTAAAACTTTCGTTAGTATTTTGGAACGAATTTCCGTCATCCCTTGTCAAATTTGAAGACAAACCGGTTTCGGTATTGAGCCATCTTCAGTGTCATTTTCCGTTTTTTGAAGTTTCGCGAAAAAAATTATAGATGACTCGAAAAATATTTATGTTAATATAATGATTATTGATTGACTTTTATTCTTTTCTCTTATAATAGTTATGCCTCTGAAATAAACATAAGTTGCAAACAATATCGTTCTGCATTTTGCTAATCAGTAATAAATCTTTAAAAGATTATAGTTTTGTAATAAAGTATACTAGTATACTAGTAGTTCCACTAATCTTCCTTTCCACTTTCCAAAATATGTTTTTCACATATTCCTAATTTCGAAAATTGGGTCACTTTTTTCCACGATTATTGTCTGCCATACCCTTTTAACCAACTCAGACACTGTACGACATGCGTCTTCTCTCTATGCATTGTTCTACACCAGTGCGCAATTACAAGAATATCAAAATGGATATTCCTAATTCAAGTACCTACATACATTTTTTTGCGCTTTGTTGTGCGAAAACCAGTAGTTTCACATTACACAAGCCTGTGTCATCTAAGAATGAATATTTACTACATAAAAGCACAAACAAAAATTATAGCAGATAGTAGTAGTAGTTGTGGACGAACATGAAAAGCTTTCTGTAAATGCGCACATCTCAAGAATTCAGGTGCGTTGTTATCCTTTCAAATATGAATGTACATACATATGTAGCTAGTCCAACAAATAAAAGAATATCTGGTGCAAATTGCCTATTGCAGCCAGATAGTTATATATTAAGCTGCACAGTTGTTGCTTTAAAGATGATAATATTTATAGAATGATGTAGAATGGCATGAAAGACGTAACAATATACATAAGGGGTATTCCACCGTCACGCGTGGGACAGTTGTACAGCAAAATGTTCACTCTTTTTCTAAATATATTCTTAAAATACGCAGCTGAAATATATTTTGATATAAACAAACGTAGTTCACTTATTGATGAGTAAGTAGGAAGTGAAAAATTACGTATATTTTATTTTATTTCGGAAAATACTGAGTCATTATCTCTGTCACGGGCTGGACAAAAAAAAGACACTGGATTTTAGTATCTGAATTTTTATCAGAAAGTCGAACTTATTTCACATTTTTATTTAAACAAGGTATTTTATTACACAGAAAGGACATCCACACTGCCCTTTTAACCACAGCTCCTACCCCATCTACAGCCCCTTTGCCATGGGAAGTTGCAAAGAAGTACCACTCTCCTTGAACCCCGAAATCTCGGGGCATGTAGCATAGATTTGAAATGGTGAACTTGTTTTTAAATTGTGAAGCTGCACCATCAGAAAAAATTTTGATGGTTTGCAATTCCGGAAATTGATCTTTAAGCATTAGTATAACTTTTTTTTAAGCATGCAAAAACGGTGTGCTTATCGTGGCGTAGAACATCACTTACGATCGCAAATGAGCTTATTTTCTCGTCAGTTAACCAAGCACATCCTGTAAATACGGTAAGTTGATTGTGTTTCCAATGTGCAGACTGAATTTCATCTTGCGAGAGTATGGTGTAGTTCTCAGCAAAATCAATTTGCAAAATTGCTACATCAGCTGGTATACTACGCTTCGCTTCTAAAAAGGCATTATATTGTACTCTCTTTACGTATACATGGGTCTTAAATCGTTGAAGTTGCAATTTTTCCATAGCTTCTCCAATGGTACCCGCAATTGTAATTACATTGGGTCTCCCTTCTACATCAGACCACTGCTTCCACCTACAAGATTGGTACAAGGTATCGTTATCAGGCAATAGAGTTTTCAGATCACTGACACATTCAGCACAATTTCCAAGCATACATTGTTCGCTATTGACGTCACAAGAAATTTCGTTTAGAAGACCGCCACCTGTTTTAGGGAACCCTGGTAATTTGGCGGCTATACTTTCAACTAAGTAGTTAAAATTGGCGTGGTATTTGCATACACAGACATTATGGGGCATTTGGCTAGTTAATAAGACGTAGGAGGGGCGAAGCTCATAAAATTTTGAAATTCGTATACTCATTTCAGGATTATCGCTAGTGAAGAGAGAATAAGCTTCTCTTACAGTGAAATTCATATATCGCTTTTGGCATAAAGTCTTTTCTCCCGTTTCTTTATTTTTAATAGATTTAATGTCCTTAACACCCGGTGACTGGCGACTGATATCATCACGCAGATAAAAGTTGACGACATTTTCTTTATCCTTTTCAGATAAGGCATTTTTCATATCTCTGTTCTTGTTGGTTGGGGAAACTAAATTAACATCATTCACTAAATTTTCCAAAACTAGTTTGCATATAACGGCCAATTTCTTGCTTGGACTAGACGGTAGGATTCGTTTTACTTTACATACTGCTTTGCCTAGCGTCTGCGCACAATTGTATGACCCTAATGATGGCAACGGTGGCGAAAGTTCATCATCCAATGCTTGTGTAAGAGTTTTTGTTCTTGCTCTATAGTTCCTTTTTTTCTGAGCTTCCTTGCATCGCCTTTCATTTAATAATCGTTTACAACGTGTTTCTTTTCCTTTTCGCAATTCACGTCTTTTCTTGTCACGCATTCGTTCTTTCTGAAGGTGCCTTCTTAACTCTTCGGGTCTGCTCTTTAATTCTTGTCTAAATTTTCGCATTCGCTCAGCAGATGTCGTTTTAGCCATCGTTCTGGAAAGAAAAATCAACCTCGGAATTTTTAAAATGGTTTTTGGCAAATCTTTAAAAATCGCAAAAACTACAAAACATCCACGCCGAATACTAAAAAGTTCTCGTAAATCTTTTGGAGAGAATAAAAATTTACCAATTTCTTCATTTGAATATACCATTAATCACCAATGATGAATGTCCAACCCGTGACTGTCACGGGGGGGACACGATAAAACTTCTAATAATTTTAAGACATTCCCGTGGAATGGAACAGAACAAATTAAATAAGGATTTA